CTCTCCCACTCCCCCTGCTTGTGTTCCTGCTCTCGCTATCTCTCTCTCTGTCAAATAAATAAATAAAATCTTTAAAAAAAAAAAAAAATAAATAAAAGGCCACAATTCAAGGATGTGATCAGGAACATCTGGGATAATTTGAGACAGAAATTCTAAAGTGTTATGTGCTACAGCATACAGACTCAGAAAAAAAAAAACGCCACGCTTAATTAGGCAATTCATGCAATTAGCATTTATGAATACAGTTTCGTTTTAATTCCAGGATTGCCAGGAGTGTAAATTCACTTGTGACCATGCTAATTTTTAATCCACAAAGGATCAAAAGTCAAGATTAACATGCAGATCAATTCACTGAATGCTGGTGACAAGCAGTTTTAAAGTTCTCATTAGTAACAGGGGCTCAAGGGATTGGTTTGGCATTGGGAGAGGGCCAATCCGATTTGCTTAAAAAATCCTCTAAAGGTGGTCAGGAAGCTTTGGGAATGCAAAGGTTTATTAAAAGATTTGCTAGCTGAGCAACTTAAAAGGGGCAACAAAGCAAATGAAGCCTATAAACCTTCTACGTACTACCTAGGGAAACTTTACCAATTAAGCCTTCCTGGTTAGAAAATGTAATCATTCATTCATTCAATTCAGAAACATGTATTGGGCACAAAGTCTAAGTCAGGTGCTATTTCTATTCTGCATCAATTTTTAAAAGGTTTAATTACTTTAGATGCAATTTAAAAAATATGTATCAATTTTATAAATAAGTAAATTCACCCTTTATTTCTAGGGAAAACTGTTCTTACTTGGAGATTTTTATATTATCAAAGCAAAATATAGAATATAAATACGAAAAAGAGCAGACTAAAGCCAAATAGCAGAACTTCAGAAATCAAAAATAATAAGATGTAAAATTCAGAGGACTCTAAAAGACACCAGTCATCATCATTTCTTACATGGGATATACTTGAACTCTTCAAAATAACACATGACTAGCAATTCTCATGCACGGAAAATTATAATTAATCTTAAATATTTGTGAATGTACAAACTTAAGACTAGGAGAACATGGGGCCAGTGTCCCATGAAGGAACCTTAGGGCTCCACAACCCACCTTCACAACCCAAAAGGGCATGAGTGGCGAGGGCACCAGGCAAAGTGGGAGTTTAACCTGTCGTGTAGGTCCCACTGAAGGTATACACTCTTCTCAGGGACCAATGATATCTGTTAATCGTTAATGAGATTCCAACCAATAGGAATTTTATATTTATCTTTAAGGGAGGCCATAAAATGAGATGAACATACTCATCTCCTTTTTTCACTCATTTTTGCCTTATTCTTGTGATTATTATTTGTGTTTAATTACATTCTCTTCTAAAATAAGACAGATTAGTCTTTTATAATATCTAGATATAAGAATATACTATGGAAAAGATTTAAGAGTCACTGCTTTATGACAAACTTTAAAAAAATATACATCATGAGTTTTTAATATAAAAATGTTAATATGGAAACTACACATCTATAGTCACTGTAGAGCATTTAATTCAACATACTTCCTATCCTAACTCTCACTGCCAAATGACTTTCAAATTGAACATGTCCATCATGACATTTAAATGCAAACTTCTAAACAGGCTTTGATTTATAGAATTTGTTCTTAACTAATTATTAATGTATCTGGATTTAAGCTGAACTAAAAAGTAATTCCATTTAGAAATACAATCTTGAAATTCTAGGTTTTATGGTGACTATGATGAGTTCTTATCTAGCTATTAAGCAACATACGACTCAGAATCAAAATCTCTAGAAAATCCAATCTTAGTATCAAAGATGTAACCTGCTCATCTAGGTGGCTATTAGAGAGCCTAGCGCAGACGCAATGATCTGACAGCATATGGGCTTCAACTGACCCTCTTCGGCCTTTGTGAGACTCTAGGGGCCAAGCAAGTGCGTGTGTGTGCATGCGTGTGTGTGCACACACATTTGCACATGTGGGCACGTGTTTCTTGGGGAGTGAGTGTGGGGACTGACATATGGTAAGTACAGTTCAGGAAACTTGGAGGAGTATAACCACAGATAATGAATGGAAAATGACACATTCCCAAATATAAATATATTTATGTGCTTGTGGAAACTGTACTATGTCCTTTAGGCAAATACTTCTGAAAATTCAGGGAAGACTATATCTCAAATAGCTATTTCCACTTCCTGCTAATGATGGCATTTTTATAAACTGTAGAGTTGTATAAGTTGAAGCATATTTTTAAATGAAGTCAGTATATCTTATTTAACTACCTTCCTGGTAATGCCTTTCTTCATAACTTTGGATGGTATTTTCTGAGGACAGGATGGAAAAGGGTGATAGGAGAAGCCGTTTCATATATGTACTACCATACATAATGCATACAGTAGTATATGTACATACTAAAACCTTAATTTAGCGGCTGCCTAGATTTAAAAATCAATTTGAGAGGAAACCACCCTAAAAATTATAAATAATACATTCCTAGTTCTTTAAAAGATTATTTAAAATAAACTGCAGCATCAAGTAGTATGCATGCATGCAAGTAAGCAGCTTCTGTTTGAAATAGCACAAGTTATTCTGGTGAGAGCTCACTGTGAGGTGACAAGAGACTGAAGTCAAAAAGTTTGGAAAAAAAAAATCAGTAAGTAACATTATGTAATTTCCTCTGGGATTTGGACTGCTTTCATTTGATTATTTTCTGGCTCTTGGTAGTTCATATGGAAAAGTCACAGGGTCATAATCTGTGATGCCTTCAGTTATTTGGCCTTTATGCAGTGACTGTTTGATTCCATGAGGAAAGTAACCAGAAGAAAGAAAATAAAAGAGAAAAAAAAATCTGAAAGTAATCCCCTTCCAGAACTGAATCTGATGACATCAGCGAACAATGTCTGAAGCAAAGAGAGTGGGGGTGCCTGGCTGGCTTAGTCTGGAACCTGCGACTCCTGATTTCGGGGTTGTGGGTTCGGGCCCCACGTTGGGTGTAGAGATGACTTAAAAATAAAATCTTTAAAAAAAAAAAAGATAGGGAATTACATCAGGAAAGGTTATTTTCATGCTTTGTTTGGTGTGCTGCTAAAAGCTCTTTTTTGAAGTAATAACACATTTCTTACTAGAGTTTGCCCTGGACAGGAAACTTCTTACAAAGGGGCTTGTCTCGTTTGCCTTCACGTTACCATCCATCAGGCACAATGAAACCTCTCAAGGAGCAGGACTCTCACTTCCGCCCAGGGACGGGATGGTATCTCGGCTGAGCTTCATTTGCTTTGTCGACATGTAGAATGTTTGATTTCTTTCTTTCTTTTGTTTTTTAAATGTTAAATTGTCATTTTTATTAAAATACCCATTCTTTTTTTTTTTATTTTTTTTATTGTTATGTTAATCCCCATACATTACATCATTAGTTTTTGATGTAGTGTTCCATGATTCATTGTTTGTGCATAACACCCAGTGCTCCATGCAGAACATGCCCTCCTCAATACCCATCCCCAGTCTAACCCATCCACCTATCCCCCTCCCCTCTAGAACCCTCAGTTTGTTTCTCAGAGTCCATCGTCTCTCATAATATTCAATCCTGTTTCTCCTATTGGTTTTTGCTCTCTTACCAAAGAAGACAAAGGGCCCCAAGCAAGATAAAAGACCTGGAAGGGAACAGCGTCGTGGTGGTGTGGGGATCCTTCATACTCACGGCAGCAAGATGGAAAAGTACTGGTGATCTGCTCCATAAACTCCGTGAGGTCTGTGCTGGTGTCATGTGGGGGAGACAGCAGGTCCTCCGCTGCTGTGACAGCAGAGAAGAACAACAACAGACGGTTTTGAAAGGATGGTCCCAGCCTTCCACCAAAACCCAACATCGGGAGAAAATACTAATCCTGGCCTCTAAACATCAACGTGAAAATCACTCTCCTTGAAAACAACAATTTTAGGGAATAATACCAAAACCATGTTTGTATCAATTTGTTGGTAATAGAATTTCATATCAACAAAATGTATTTAGATGTTTCTGTTGGAAGATTCCATGTGCCAGGGGAACATTTATGAGTGAAAAATAAGTAATGCGGTTGTATTATTTTAATGTATTAGATGGAATTCCATTATTTTGCATTCTAGGTGTTTTTTCATATAAAAAAAACCTCTCAGTTTCTTTTTCCTTCCTTCTTTCTTCTTGGAGATTCTGGCGTGGGCTAGCTTACGCTGCCACAAATCTAGAGGTGTTTGAGAAGATACTTTTCACTTTGATGGTTTTTATTCTATAACCAATAAATAGTAAAATAATTCACTTATTTAAAACAATTAAAATAACATTAATATTTTTGGTTTTCTTCTGACTAATGTAGCAAAAGATATCTTATAAACAAATTAATTTGGTTAAAATATGTGGTCCTGGGCGCCTGGGTGGCTCAGTTGGTTAAGCGACTGCCTTCGGCTCAGGTCATGATCCTGGAGTCCCTGGATCGAGTCCCGCATCGGGCTCCCTGCTCGGCAGGGAGTCTGCTTCTCCCTCTGGCCCTCCCCCCTCTCATGTGCTCTCTCTCATTCTCTCTCTCTCAAATAAATAAATAAAATCTTTTAAAAAAAAAAATGTGGTCCTCAGTAGAATTTTACAACTTAAATTTCATCAGTAACAAAATGTCATTCCTGAATGCCAGTTGACAGAGCCCTTCCTAACAGCAGTGACAAGCCCCTTTGTCACCAACAACAGGCTGGGTGAGACCTTGGCCTCTGATGGGTGGCAATGTCTATAGGGACTAGCATGGAAAAAGCAGAATATTCAGTTCCCAGACCTGGGCAGAGAAAACCATGCTTGGTATAATATACTTTGGGATTATATTCTGAATATGTACTAATATAAGTTTTAGAGACAGAAAATATATTTAAAAAAAAAAAAGAATCATTCTGAGGGCAAAGCAAAAAATAAATTGTTGCTCATCCCAAAAGAAAAGAGCACTTTTTTCATCTTTTGCCGAAACTCAATCCACTACTACACATTATATAAGCAAATATATTATAGATGAATATTCTAAAATGTTTGCTTTTTGGGTGTTGTTAAAATGTCTTTGTATGCAGCTAAGCACAAAGAGAATATGAAACTCCTTTCTTTATGCTCTAAGGCATTGGTGAGTAAGAACGCTATTTAAAATGAAAGACAGGGGCGCCTGGGTGGCTCAGTGGGTTAAGCGGCTGCCTTCGGCTGGGGTCATGATCTCAGGGTCCTGGGATCGAGCCCCACATCGGGCTCCCTGCTCAGTGGGGAGTCTGTTTCTCCCTCTCCCTCTGCCTGCCGCTATCCCTGCTTGAGCTCCCTCTGTCAAATAAATAATTAAAATATTTTTTAAAAATTAAAAAAAAAATAAAATGAAAGACAAATGGTGAAGCTCAAAGCAGAGCGGGGGAGTTAGCCAGCTCTTGGGGACACCAACCTGCTTGGTGGAATTGAGAGCCAGGGTCGGGATCTAGCGAGTAGCTCAGGGCAGACTGCTGAGGTGAAGCCCAGGGGGAGACGCCGTTGATTCGAGAATCAGATTCAGGCTGCAATCACATTCAGCGGTTAAAGCAGAGGAAGGACTCAAACAACTGCTAAGGGAAACATTTTTGTGTCTAACCTCCATGGATAATTAAATCACACTGAGTTCTTTGGCCACAGACAATACCTGTTTTCATCAGTTTGGGAGATCACCAGTACTTCCCCTGAGTACTGATGGTCCATCCCCTTCATTTTGGGCTCCTTGAAGAGCTCGGTTGGTTATAATGTGAGATTTATTTATCAGTGTCAGCTTCATCCCTCAATTTTTCTCTTTATGATTCTCAACCAAGTGAATTTAAAAAAGGTTTCATTCATCTTTAAAAAAGGAGCATGGCTTCTCATACAATAAATTTACCCAATTTCAAAATCAGCTCATTTCTTTATTTAAATCAATATTTAAAGGCAACACTGGAGAGGTAAGGACACAACTTTGGATTCACGTACTTGAATTCAAATTCCACCACTCAGAACCTACCTAATTCTGAGCAAATTTTATAACCTTCTATGCCTTGGATTTTTTATTTATAAACTGGGGGTGGTAAAAAGAATGCCTGTGTCCAAGGAATTTGTGAGGAGGTTGATCAGTTAGTATTTCCACTGAGATTAGAACAGAATCTGACATACAGCAAACACTTTGTAAATCTACTCTGCACAAAGCTTGGAAATGGTGCCTGACACACTGACAAGTATGTGCTCAAATTAGACAATGTGATCCATTTTACAGGGAATGCAGAAATTACAATGTTTTTGATGCCGGTTTTTCCATTAAATTTATATTAGTTGAAGTCTGGTGGTTTTGCCAGTTTTTGCTGTCAGGTGAATTTTCCATCTACTTCTGGCATTCATGCTAAATCATTAAGAAGAGATAAGAGGTCCACAGTCTGGGATATACCGAGCCATTTAGATATCAGCTATCTCTAAAAGCATTACTGTGCAATTCTGAAGGCACATGAGCCATTAGGCAGCTCTGTCTAATGGGATGGAGAGAGTCAGGGGAGGGGAGGGGAGTCAGGGAAGCAGAAGAGCTGTTAGCTCTCCAACGGGCTATGGCAAATAAAGGTTTCGAGCACGGCTTCCTTCTGCAAAGATTCTATTGCTGCTCTAGGTTAACAATAACATTTCATATTTTAAATCAGAGATTTCAAGAGAAAATTCATCCCTCACACAGGCACCATGGAGAAACTTCAAATTCACAGTGCTTACAATGTGGCACCGGAGAAGACTCAAACATTCCAGAAGGCTTAGGGAAAGCCAGGCTTTGGGGCACTCTAGGGGCACTACTGTTTTCTAACGATGCACAGTTTGGAGACCCAAAGTAAGCGTTCCCCAAAACAGCCTGACGCAAATCCTGAAACAGTGACAGACATACAGAAAAGTTTATGGTTGAAAGGCGAGATCTGTGGCCTGCTGTGTAGGTAATGCAGAAATCACACTGTTTTGAATGATTCTGACAAGTTAAAAGATACTGACAGCAACTGTGACAAGATGGTTTTCTGACATTTGAGAAGATCACTGGAGAAAAAGTTGCTTCTGCCTTTGGTTGGAGAAATCGTTTCTGGAGAAAGGCCTTGCCTATTCACTGCCTGGGGCCCCACACAGCACAGGCCAGAGAAAAAGGCAAAAGATGACATGAATGTTGATGTCAGGGATTCTTCAAGAAAGAGAAAGTCTAGCCCCATCTGTAGGGATTCTACCCAATATGCACCTGCTACCAAGGCATCTTTCTGACTAATTCTGTGACACGACTCCTATTCTTTAACTGCTAGATGTAATCAAGTACTTAGTCCTCTATAGTATTGCCTTTATGTGTGATACTATCTTGTTGTATATTGTACTATCTTGTTTTGGTCCCTAATAAGACTGCAAGCAAGAAGAAGGCAAAAATTGTCTGATGCTTCTTTCATATCCCAAAGAAGAGTATTTTTCAAAATTGTGGGCTATTATCCACTGATGAGCTATAAAATTGATTTGGTAGGTGCTGACCAGCACAAAGAAAGAAAAGAGAAAGAGATGAAAAATGGGAGGGAGGTACACCGAAAGAGATACACAGGAAGGAAGAGAGGAAGGAAGGGAGGGAGGAAGGAAGGAAAGAAGGGAGGAAGGAAGGAAGACAGGAAAGAAGGGAGGGAGGAAAGAAGGAAGGAAGGAAGTTAAAAAAAATAGAAAATAACAGATCTTTATAATGGCAATTATTATGTTGTATTCATCACACAGGTATGCATTCATCATAATGTAAGTTGTATTTCTTATTGTCAAGAAAGTGTGCAAGCAATTGCCATAAAACTGGCCTGATGTTAGGAAACGATAGCTGCACCTTAATAAACATCTGTTACTGAATTTCACGAAAATAGCTCCCTGGAAGAAAGGCTTTAGCATACAGAGCTCCAGTGGCTTCCTTCCCTTTAATCTCTACAGCGGTCCCACACGTAATTTACACAGATGTATGTTACAGGGTCTTTTCCCTTAAAGTATTCAGAGCTGAGACAGATTTCCGTGTTACAGAAGAATGGGAAATTCCACCTTAAGTAGGGCAAACACACTCTGGGAGCCAGTGGGGGTTGGGATGCTTCCATTAGAAGAGTCTAAATTAAGCATGGAGGTGAGAGGCGCCACTGAGCCTCTCTGCTGATGCTGGACCTCCACCCCCCACCCCCAGGGAGATGGACGGGTTGGGAGGGGGTGTGGGCGCCACCCCGAGTTCCACACACTCTACCTGCTCCAGCAGCTGGCGAAGGCGGTGGAGTTGAGATTCCAGCTGCTTATTGTGATCTTCTAAAATCTGCATCCTAGCCTCCAGCCGACCTTTGTGCTGCCTGAGGAGCTTTGCTTCTGCTATAAGTTCCGAGTCCTCAGACGTGTGGTGAGGAGACACAACAGAGTCTGGAGGTGACCCGATGGGGAGACCCCTTCTCAGGTGCTGCTCCTTCAGCTGCTCATATTCCACCTGCAGGTTTCTAATGCAGAAAAGGAAAAACCGGAATCACCACTGCGTGCATCGTCTTCTCTCTGAAACTGCCCACGAGCTCCAGGTTTAACTCGGGCTCCTTTCTTTTTAGGTAAAAACATGTATTAACAGTGAGACGAGTAAGCGCGAACAACACTATAGCTTTAAGCAGGTGTTCTGACAGACGTCACCCGCGAAACCTCACATGTGTGATCTGCAGCCCATGCCCCGGCTTGTTAACCTCCTCGAAAACTTTGACTCCACCTGGATTTCTTAGAAAACACTTCTGAAAAGAGAATGGCTAGGGATCATCTTGAAAGTATTATTCAAGAATTTCCCTTCAGAAGTCTGCCCAGGGGGACATAGCTTCCTCTCCCAGGTCAGGCGCACCTTTGTTCTTCCTCCAGGTCGGCAATGATCCGTTCCAGTTCCCCACGTTCTTCCCGTTCTACCGACTTCAGGATCTGAGCTGGACTCTGGGGCTGGCTGACTGGGGACTCCCCTCCAAGCGTCTGACAGTACTGCTGGATGAGGGCATGCTCGTCCTCCCTAGGGAGGCAAAACGGACACACTGAGGCGCACGTCTGGCAGTCGATGTCTCCAGTTGTAAGGGAAGTAGAAACAATGAGGATGCGGATGGCGGCTGGGCCACGTCTGCCTTAAAGCTCAATGTCCCTCTAACGTCCCTTTAAAACTTCTAGGAAGGGGACGCCTGGATGGCTCAGCTGGTTAAGCGTCTGCCTTCAGCTCATGTCATGATCCCAGGGTCCTGGGATCGAGTTCTGCATCGGGCTCCCTGCTCAGCAGGGAGTCTGCTTCTCCCTCTCCCTCTGCCTGCCACTCCCCCTGCTTGTGTTCTCTCTCTCTGTCAAATAAATAAAATCTTTAAAAAAAAAAATCCAGGAAGATATTTATCTAAAAGGTATGTGTACTACACATACCAACACTTCATGCTTTGCCTTAGACTAACCTGCATGTATCACAAACCTCAGGAGGGATTCTACTCAGCAGAGGTATCGAAGAAGGTCCACCACTTATACAGTTAATAGAAAAGATACTTTAGGCAAAATCAGCAATTGAATACCAAATGAGTAGATTAAAAGACTTAATTAAAAATAAACTAGACAGTAGACCCCCCCCCCAAATTCATATGTGGAAGCCTAAATCCCAGTGTAATGGTACTTGGAGGTGGGGCCGTTAGGGGGTGATTAAGGTCATGGGGGTGGAGCTTCATGAATAGGATGAGTGCCCTTAGAACAGAGAGTCCAGAGAGCTGGCTCCCCCTCCCTGCCACGTGAAAACACAGTAAGAAGAGAGCCACCTGTGAACCAGGAAGAGGGCTCTAATCAGACCCCAAATCTGCTAGGACCTTGATCTTGAACTTCCCAGCCTCCAAAACTGTGATAAATAAATGTCGTTTCTAAGCTGCCCGGCCTTTAATACTGTGTTATAGCAGCCCACATGGACTAAGGCCTAAGTTGATTTCACTGGCTTTAGCATTTGGTTGAAAGCCATTTTGTAATGCTTTGTAACCCACAGAATGGAAGAATATAATCCTCATATTCTTTCATTTAAATAACATAGCAAAAATTCTAACTGTAGATATTTATAAAATATCTGCAGATATTTTACTTGATATTATCAGCATGTCCTCACTAGGATCAATCATTTTGCACTAAAACAAGAAACTACAGGTACTTAACTTAGACTCTCCTACTTTTCTAACTACTCGTCTAATGAATTAGACATATCAATTGCATGGTCGAATCTAATGATTGACAGAAACAGAAGCATAATGAGAGAGACAAAACTGGTACATTCTTGAGAAGGAAGTGCTCAACAGCATGCCTGGGAACCCTTCTCTTCCTTTATAGGGAGATCCAGTCAGACCTCCCTGTAATCGTGCAAGGGACAGACCCCTGGCTCAAGCCAGCTGGAGGCGCTAGCTGTGGAATGAAGACTTCAGCAGATCGGACCTGGTCTGCTTTCATAGGGTTTGGTAAAACAAATCCTGGGATCTATGGGGGTTTACAGGATAGGGCTTCAGAAAAACAACATGTAAGCAGCTCTGAGGGTATAAAATGGAGCTATGGCACAACTGTACTAGCTCATCCGACAGTGATGTGACTGCAAGTGTCCCTTAGAGCCCTCGTCTGTGCACAGGGTCAGAGCACAGCCTACTGCGGTCCAGAGAGTCTGGGGAGCGGTGGTGGCCGTCTGGGACCTCGGACTGGCGCCCGGCAGCTGACAAGCAACACTCGATACACGAGGTAAGACCTTTGATTCCTCGGAGTCCAGTCCGAAAATGCAACCCTGTGGGATCACAGTTTACTGTGATGAAAAGGGGACTTGAAATTGTGTCTGAGAGTTAGTGAACTCATAGTAAAGGTGTGTCCTGAGCCTTGAGATCAGAATGATACAATGAAGCAAAGGAGCAAAATGAGTGTTATGCCTGCCAAAGCAAGGGTTCAGATGAACTGCTGATCCATTTCTTTTGCTTCCTTTATTGGTAACCTCTCCCTCTCTCTAAATGTATATATGGAGAGAGTGTGTGTGGACAGACATTTAGAAAAATAAAGGTCATGCACTTTGGTTAGGATCACAATATAAACATCGATATCGAACCTCACCGTCCTTCTACTATCAACTTCAGTGGGGAGAGGAGTAGGACCTTTTCCACACAGTGAGAAACGGGAAATAAGGACCATGGATGGGATAAAGACTGAAATAAGCTACCCTTTGATTACCTTTCTGAGAAAATGCAGTGTCACTGAAAAATAAATTAAAGGAGGCTCTAGAAGAATCGCATGCTTGCTCCTAACTGTGGAAGGATGAGGATAAGAGGACGGAACAGGCATAGCGGCACTGCAGGGAGGCACGTTTAAACGCCCCTGGGCTGCCCATGTAGCTAAATCAGACAGAAAGGGTGTGTGTGTGAGGGGCGGGCATTTTCCTGATGGGAAATATATGGCCAATACCCTAAACCCAATTCATTCATTCATTATTCATTCATTCATTTATAGGCTCTATGCCCAGTGTGGAGCCCAACGTGGGACTTGAACTCACGACCCTGAGATCAAGACCTGAGCTGAGATCAAGAGTCGGTGCTTACCCGACTGAGCCACCCAGGCGCCCCACTAACCCTAACTATTATGAAAGGGCAGAAGCTGGCTATCAGGCTAACACATCAACACACTGGGACACCATTAGCTGCTAAGGATGGCAAGACTCTAAGTCAGTGATCCTCACCACTGCCAGGGTTTGGAGGCACTTTATCCAGTTCAGGCAGAGACAGAAGTCATAGTAAGAAAGGATAAGAAGTAGAGATCTAAAATATGGAGAGGAAAAATATAAAGCATGAAGAGACAGGGGGCATAAAATAAAGAAATAGCAAAGTAAGGGTATAATGCAACATTCTGTAAATATTTCTTGGGCTGAAAAAGATGTATAGAAACTAGAAGGACTGAGTATCCAAAAAAATAATAATAATCATAACAAAAGAGAACGCCCCATGAACTTTCTCTATTTTAAGGATAAAGCATCACAAGCAATCAACCAGAAATCAATACAAAACAATAACTCTTACAAAAGAAGCAAAAGGTTTAGCCTCCCGCTCTCTATAATATCTAATGTCAAAAGGCTAAGAAGCAATGTCTAGGGTCTAACCCAGCCATTCCTGTGACCAGCCAGACTAAGGAAATGTCCAGCAAACCACTTTGTCCATAAAGCAGAAGAAAGAAAGAACAAGCAAGGATAATGCAAAATAGAACAAAAGTAGATGTTAATCTCAGGCATTGCAATAAATGAGAGGTAAACTGATTTTCACTTTGGTTAAAAAAAACAATCATATGATTCCTATGAACAATTCACCTAAAAGGAAATTAAGGACTAAAAGTTAAAAAAAATATATAATAAGGACAGGAAGAGCCAAAGCAAAACTTGAGTCCCGTAAGCCATCTGGTGGGTCTATGATGATCATGGATCCTAGCCCGAGCTCCTCCCCTGTCACAAGGTACCATCAGACCACTGAGGCCCTGAGAACATTCATGCCAGCAAGCGTCTGACTTGGGGAATATACTCAGTGCTCAATATTAGCACCAACTAAATTTCTGTTTTCAAGATTTGGGGACTAGCCACAGTGAAACAAATATATACACAAACAAGTCAAAATTAGATCTGAGATATATCTTGTTGTAAACATTGATATAGCTTCATTTCTTCTGGGGAGTTGATAGGGTTGAACTTATAATCACCATCATCACCACTATCATTACATTCTTTCATTGAGGTATCTGAAAGGGATTTAAGGCAACTTCTAAAAAAAAATCGTTTATGTATAACATACGATTTTAGCATTATTTCTCACAGATTATTAGGCCTAAAAATTAAATATAAATACACTCAAGTTCTTAATTATATATAGTAAAAACCAAGAGCATACCCTTTAAAGACAGATAGTACATGAGGCACCAGATGAGGGCCTTTAAATGTCAATAGTGCTAAAATAGAAAGGTTGCAAAAATATAAGTCTGCACCACTGAAATACCATTAAGTGGAAAATAATTATACTATATTTAAATCGCACAGAGTAAACACTATCTAGATTACAAAATTAGTACATATCAGATGATGCAAGAACTGTGAGTCATTCAATGGCCTTTTGAAAGTAGGCAGGACATAAATAAAAATAAAAATAACAATAATTTCCCTCCTCTCAAGGATTATTCTGTTCCAGACAGCAATGCCAGTGCCAACCAGATCCAAGTTTGATCTTTCCACATAAGACAGTGTCACTCAAGGGCAGGTGGCAGATGGAGGGAGACATCCTAATGGTAGTGGTCTAAGGATCTGTCCTTGAGTTCCTGCTACTGACATTCTCCAGGACTATCCTGGGTCCTGTTTCGGTTTGAGTCATGGATGTTCAATTCCTCCTTTGAAAAAAATTAATATCCTCAAAATTCATGCCTTTTTAAATTGTCTAGAGGCAGACTTTCAGAAGGAAAGGGAGCACTGGGAATTGGGTCTATGTGGGGGAGTAGCTATGAGACTGATTCATGTCTAGGTTGGGGAGGCAGCCGCCCGTGATGCATGGGAATGCAACAACGAATTAACCAGCTTCACAGAGGATGAATGCTGTTGGGAGTCAGGCACTTGGTTCCACAGACCAATTTGAGGGACAGAGAAATGCTCGAACTGCAGGGTAGGATGGTTGCTTTTGAAGATACAAATGACTAAAAGGACCTTGGGTAATTTAAAATCACAAGTTCAAATCTCAAAATTCCCACCCGAAAGTATAAGGATTTCTTTTTTTTTTTAAAGATTTTATTTATTTGAGACAGAGAGAATGAGAGACAGAGAGCATGAGAGGGAGGAGGGTCAGAGGGAGAAGCAGACTC